TCTTCATAAAATGACTTCAAAAATCAACTCCCAAAATATTAGACAGTACCTAAGAAACGCCCAATGTAAACAAATAGAGGAACCACGTGAAGCCTCTCTTTTTTTCGAATTTTCCTTAATCGCGCGGTGAAAGGATACACTTCGAGGGACCACTCACTTCGCACGAAGACAAGTTCCACAGCACTCCCGTGACAAGCTCCTTGACTTCCGCATCGGACGTCCGTCGCAGCAGGTTGATCAAGGACGGCACGCCGCCCGCATTCTTGATCGCGCGCTTGTTCTCGTCATTCTGTCGTCCATACGACAGATTCCGCAGCGCGCCGCACGCGTTCCTGTACACGTCTGGATTGTCGTGGTCCAGCAGCTGCACCAGCGGCGGTATGCCGCCAAGGCTACGCGTCTTCTGCTTATTTGGGTCATCCATATAGCAAAGGTGCTGCAGATACGCGGCCGCGTTCGCCTTGATTATATTGTTGGGATTGCTCAGGAAGCCGATCACCTCGGAGAGATTCGGGTCCCGCCAGCGCATGGACTTCTGCTCGTCGTCGAGCGGGCTCGCCATACCGGGCACCACCGGATGACGCGACTGCAGCCGTTGGAGGTGCACCTCGTCCTCGAAGATGCCGGGCGGCACAGCCGACGTGAGGGGCACTCCCGGGTGGCCTTCTTCGTAGCCGGGCACATCGCTCGGCACCGGTCCAACCCCCACGGCGGGCACGTATCCCACAGGACCGTACGGCGACGGCGACACGTAGCCATAGGCCACTTTACTCTCATCTGCAACGGAAAAGGCCATCGATTATTAATCTTGGTTACGATCTAATAATATCGTTTTTATCGAAGTTGCCGTCCAAGGAGAGAGTCTCACTCTCGAAAGCGCACAATTCACTTGCGTTTATCTCCAGCGATAACTGCTTATCTTGGCACTTCGAGATTCGAAGATATTAATGTTATCCAAGAGGTACACGTGTTGCTTTGGAAAACAACATATCGTAGAAATTATTGGAAATACGACGTAATACGAATATCGTTAATCATTTATATCCAAAACTTTTAGTTGTGACAATTATTAATTTTAATTGCAATTTATGACAATTTATGACAATTATTAATTTTAATTGCAATGTATACTTTCTATTTCACGAATATATTAATGTTCCATTTAATTTCAGAAACGAAATGGAACATTGAAAAAAAGGAGCAATGTGGTTTCGAATTAAATTCAGGGAAAATTATATCGCGGGTCAGAATTAAAATATAATTTGGTCGTGGCCGATTAAATTAAGTCTCTTGTACGTCTGTCCGACTTTACGTAACGATCATGGAAAAAAGATAACGTCATTTTTCAATCGCACTTAATAGAAAATGGATAGCTTTAAGAATATATTACAAATTACCAAAAATATAAAAATTTCATCAGATTCTATTATTATGTCTGAGTAAAATCTGAGCACAATTCTCTTATTGGTTTAAAAGTTATTTAATTTTCTGCTTGCCTTGGATCTTATGTAAAATCACGTGCAGTAGTTATTTGCAAATTTGATGAGGAAATAGCATTAGAAATTCAATCAAATTTTTCAAGTATACTATTAATAAAACTAATAAATATTCTTGCAAAAGTTCATTTGAATCCACTTACTCGTTTAAAAGTTATTTGCCTAACTCTGCAGCAAAGTATGGTAATTGCACTGCAAGAACCATTAAAAGCTAAATAATTAATTTGTTTTGTTTTTTGCAGTTGTGTGTGTGGTCTCAAGAGATATTTATGAAAAAATCTTTTCACTGATATTGGCTTTTTTTAGCTACTTTTAGCTGATAATGTACAGTCAAAACACATTCAAGTACTATTTTATCCTTTTTTTATTCCCGGAATGTTAAGTAAGGATAAAATGGTATTTAATATTATAAATTTAACAGTGTAGTACCATCTACATTGGTAACTATACGCTGTTAAATTCATAATGTCAAATTATACCAATTTGAGTTGTTTTTAATTGTTTCTATAGGTCACCACTATTCCTATACTCAATATGTTATTAATTTAATTAAAACAATGACGTTAAACAATTTAATTGAAGAAATTGTACTAAATTTAACTCAAATTTAATTTATTATTTACTCAGTACATTAATAATATTTACTCTCAAACTACAGAAATGAATTAATTTTAACTTATATGGAAGTTCAAAAATAACAAAATGTCATTTAACTCAAGGGAATTGGGTTCATCATTGTTTTTTTTAATATCTAACAATGTAGAGAGCATTCGGGAATCCGAACGTAGTCTTTAATAAGTCACGTAAAGTCACAAACGAAAGTTCAAGAGGAGGGAATATTAATCCACGTTTTGATATTAAAGAAGTCGTTTAACAGATGGAAGGGGAAAAGGAGACCAGAGGGACACAAGTTAGATAAATGGTGGATGCGACCTCCACCATGAAGATGTTGAGAGGGCTCGCCGGAGCCATCCATATTCCGCGTGCTGCCGATTCGATCTCGAGCGAACGTGGAGTAACGTTCGGGAGATAATCGAAGTGAATTATGCGGCATCCTCGTAGTACGAGGGAGTTTTTCTCCCACGTGGCACGATCTGATCGCGGTCGCGTGAACGCCCGGGTGAACGGCGTGCTGAAATCGAATTTGCCAGCCGCCCTGGCGAACACGAGACCTCCTCGGATCGCACTTGTTGCAGCCTGGTCCACCTACCATACTGATCCCCGGGACCGCCTGGACTTGGAGTAATGCGATAATGGTCCTGCAAAGCGGGGTTTAAGCCGGGGTCGATGTCGTTATAGCTACCCTCCACGTAGGGTGCACCCTTGCGCATGTACTCTGCGGAAAACAGATCACCGTGTTTATGTTGTTATCGAAGATTCACTTGGTGCGCCGTCTCTCCCACGAGACGTCGTAGAAATAAGATAACGTTCTTCGAGACACGTTACATTTAATAATCTCTCTCGGCGCGGTGGAAATTATCATGAGAGTTTTGCTCAGAAATTATATCATTTATTTTTGTAATACTGAAATGCTAATTTTCAACTTTTAGATTACCTTATTTACGGGAAGTAGGCAAAATAATGTGAAAATACCTGGAAAGTGTTCGTTCATTAATAGGTCGACCTATCGTTTCTCTTTAATACAAGCTTCATTTTTGTTCAAAGATAACGCTCAAATAGTTCAATGTAATGTTACGTCATTCCTCTAAGAACATCTTCCAATTGTTTAAAAGACGTTGGAGGAAGAGATTTTGTTTCTTATTCTACTCTCCAAGCTCACAATGATGTTCGGTGATGTTTAAATCAGGCGATTGCGCTGATTGAGAAAAATGTTGAAATTTTGAAGAACAGACGAATCTCTCTTGGAAAAGTACAGTGATTTTAAAGTGTATTAAAGGCGAATGAGGACAAGCAAGTAATGTCTACTTTCAAGGTGTTCACATTATTTTATCCATGTATATATATATATAAATAAAGTTTGGAAAAAAATCTATACGTATATCCCTTATTGAACAGAATATTAAATTGAATTTAGAATATATCAAAACAATTTCCTGACAAACCACATATCAATAAGATTTTTTTCTGAATGCAGCCTTAGCCAAGAGTACAAAGTACAAATTGATAAGCACGTTGATGTTACACATTATAGTATAATATCACTTGCAAATTTAACATTTTTAGATCGTCTTTTACACATGTACAATATATAAACTTGTGCCGCACATAACGATAGATTATAACATTAAATTCAACTTCATCCAAGTTTATACACTCACACATATTTATTACGTATAAAAATTTGCCGGATGTATTTCGCGAGGTAAAAAATTTCAACTCGACAAAAGCGGCATTACATTGCAGTATAATAATATATTCGTTCAATTCTCCCATGGACAGATTTGTCGCTGACAGTGCCGTTTACGCTGTTTACGACAGCTGAAAGTGATCAGATCGGAGAATGAGGAGAGATGAGAGTGATAGTCAAACGTACCGTGTGGCGGCGAAGCACGACTGTGTTCCGACGGGCTGTGGGGGCTGTGGGGTGAATGCGAGCGTGGCATGTAGATGCCATGGGGTCCCGGGTATCCTGGCTGCGGCGGGTAGCCCAGGTACGGGTCGTAATGGTCGAAGCTGACCATGTACGGGTCCGCGGGGTAGCGCGGGTCCGCGTGCTGATAGTCCTGCGACATTAACGGCACCGACATGTAACTGACCGCGCCCGGATCCGGCTCCATGTGGGAAACCTCGCGCACGACTTTCGTCACGGTCGTCACCTGGAAGGAAGAAAGACGCGCCCCCGTCACACAATCCCCGTTTCCTCTCTTTTTCACGGCGCGTGTTCACTAAAACACGGGGTGGGGGGGGTGGGGGGATTTTCGCCGCGCGCGACATGTACGCTAATACCCGCGTTCGCGCGTTATACGTAATGCGATTATATCGACATCGACGGCGGGATTAGATTTTCGAAATGGAGCGCGACAAAAAAAGTCCCCCCCACCGATTTCAGATAAAATTAATCGAGCAAATTCACCCTTTTTTTTTTCCTTTTTATCATAGATACGTTTTATCGCAGACGCACGTTTAAGAATAAAAGATTAGACGGATATCGGTGTGATTGAACAATAAAAAAGTATCTCTCGACAAATATGTTTGTAACGTGAATACGATAAATAAAATGCTATGCAAAATGTAACGTATATCAGGATTAGAAATCACTACAAGATTAGAAATCGGAAAAATCAGGGAAATTGTCGGGGAAGTTAGGGAATTTTTAGAAAATTTTTCTGGAAAATATAAAAATTCTTGACTTTAAAGAGAGAAGTTTAAGGTTAGGTACATCACACCTACACAGTTTTTGAAATACTATCAACTTAACAATTAAAAAAACAAGTAATATCAGTAAAATTAATAATAATTTATACTATTATGTTAAATTGATCCTCCCAATAAAATATTTGATAGAATAGTTTTCAAAATCAGGACGAAAATACAAGAAATTTCCAAATTATTGAAAGTCTGGGAAAAATTATGGAATTTTGCTCTCTGAAAAAAGTTTTCTTGACACGTGGTTGATATCAACGAAACTTTTTCCTGAGGACGTAGGATGGGGAATTTGTTGATAATCCTGTGGATAAAAATGATTAAAAACATAAGAAACGTCTGTAATACATAAAATAATCAACAAAGAAATTTGAAATGTCCTTTCAATGTCGCTCTTGTAACTTGACGACAACGAAGGGTGGGTGAACTTTCGAAAGAGCAAGTCGCGCGTGAAATATCGCTCGGGAAAATATCGGAGGGGGTCGGTCTCACTTGCTGAGAAGTCTGTTGCTTGTGGGTCCGGATAAGCAGCGGGTCCTCCTGGACGGACAGATGAGACGAGTGCAACGAGTGGGTGTCCGCCTGTCCGTTACTCCCATGGTAATCCGTGTCGCCCTGTCCGCTACGGCAGGTGAATCAGAGAAATGTGAGATCGACGGAAGTGCGTACGTGGCGTTGCGTGATATCGTAAATTGCTATATAGCGAGCTTACGTGTATTGCGGCATGTCGGGGGCTTTCTCCTGTAGGACGCGTCTGAAAACGAATGTTTCTCTTTGAGACTCGTTATACATCCTACGGAATGCGAAGAAATGCTCTATAAAGTCTACTAACGTACGGTATTGTTTCAGAGAAGGCAGTTGGGAGAAAGTGAAGAAGAAAGAGGGAAATACTTTACGGTAGCTGATATTTTGCAATACATGAAACCAAATTCTACTGCATATTATTGTATTTATTTTCCGAAACAAGGATAGTACTGTTACACTCTGACTGTCAAGCTGATATTGGCGTTGAGCTCTGGAATGTCCAAAGTTGAAAAGTGCGCGATCGTTTATAAAGTATGAGTGAGATTGCAGAATGAACGAAAAAAAGCAATAAATAAAAAATAAATACGAAATCTATATATATTTACACATTTATTATATATATATTTAATAATTTCAGAGGGTATAAATTAAAACTAT